CTCTTTTTGGAAAAAAAAAACATTGCAATAGTTCAAATAGCTACATGCATATTTTGAACAATTTAAGGCCAAAACTAGGTGTCCATGACCAATGGTTATACAGCTATAGACATGCTATAGGGTCCTTTGTGTCAAAAGTCAAAAATGTCATTTCGGTCACTTTTAGAAAAAATGTTGCATTAGTGCAAATAGATATATATATATGTTCCGAACAAACTATGACCAACGGTTGAGGAGATTTAAATATCCTACAGGGTACCTAAGGTCAAAGTTTATAAACTTCATTTCCGGTCACTTTAGGACAACATGTTGCATAATAGGAACATGCATGTTATGAAACATTTGAGGCCAAAATTAGGTCTCTGTGGCCAACCGTTTTTTGAGATATGGATGATGCTGGATATCTAGGGTCAAAGGTCAGAAATGTTTTTCTGGTCACTTTTGGGCAAAATTTTACATTAGAGCAAATAGAAACATGCATCTTCAGAACATTTTGAAGCCGAAACTAGGTCTCTATGACTAACAGTTTTGTAGATATGGATATGCTGGTTCATGTAGGCTCAAAGGTCAAAAATGCCATTTCCGATCACTTTTTGACAAAATGCTACATTAGAACAAAAAGCAACATGTATGTTCCTAACAATTTTAGACCAAAACTAAGTCTGTACGATTTTCCATTGCCAAGATATATGGATCCCGTCTTTTAGAGGCGGTCTATTTAAATTTAAAATGGCGGTCATAGCAGGCGTCAGAAACTTGGCACACATTTTTTTTTAAATTCACACATATTAAAGATTTTGTGCCAAGTTTCATGCTTTGGTAATAAAGTGCACATCTTGGCCCTTAGCTGCTCTACTAAAATGCGCAACTTGGTGCTTCAGCTGCTCTACTATAGCAGTTAATTAGGGTACAGTATTTTCAATATCCTAAGGATTTAAGTGCTTAGGAAAATTTTTACATTTGCGGTTGACATGTTATTACATTTGAGGTAAAAATGGAAATTTTTACATTTGTAGGTGAAATGTTACTACATTTGTGGTTAAACAGATTTTTACATTTGTGGGCGATTTTTTTACATTTGTGGTTATTTTTACATTTGTGATTGACATGTTATGACGTTTGCGGTTATTTTGACATTTGCGGTAGAATGTTTTGACATTTGTGGTTATTTTTACATTTGTGGTAGATTTTTACATTTGTGGGTTCTACACAGCCCTCACTGAACAAACAGCTTGTTCATGTTAATTTATCTTTGTCATTCTAAATTCATTCCATTCTCCCCTTTGTGGCATAAATACTGCACTCCGATTTTACCTTATCTTTATTTATATTTTGCTTTGTAGTACTGTTACGGTTCATTCTAAAATTTTTTAGCATGCATAACATTGAATTTTTACTCCCCTATATTAATGATTGCCTGCGTGCAATAGATAACTGACGATGGTAGTAGACTGCCGAAACATGTCTTATTTGGGCCGTTAAGGCTATAACTTATTGGATTAAATACAGGCTTTGCCTATGATGAAGATACGACCTGTTGTGTTGTTATATATATATATATATATATATATATATATATACAAATGATTTATATATATATATATATATACAAATGATAAAATTCGAATGTTAAAAAGGAGGAATCTGCGAGTATAAACAAAATATTGTTTCAAGAAAGTATAATACATACTCCAAGTATTGAAATACACGCCATCGTGTTGGGATGCAATATTTTGACATTAATTATGTCATCATCATGATTATTATGTGATCATTAGGATGATCATTCCTGATGATGACATAATTAATGTCGAAATATTGAATCCCAACACGATAGCGTGTATTTCAATACTTGGAGTATGTATTATACTTTCTTATCTGAGATTTATTTATTTATTTATTTATTTCATTTCATCAGACCAACAGCGAATCATCGCCACTAACAGGCTGGTAAAATATATAAAATTTAAATATATCAAATATATAGACGAAAGAGTACAAAAATCTCACCTATTCAAATGATTAATAATAATATAACGAAATATAGACAAACTATTGTGAAAAATGTCAATATTAGAGGTTAAAATAAGAGAATTATATTGAAGAGAAAGTCTAGAAATAAAACTACGTTTACAGACATCAACTCTACAAAAGGGGACATTAAAGGTAGGACAGGAACGAAGACTTCATTAAAACATTTTTTCAAAAAACCTAATAAACTTAAGATGCATCCTATCGATGCGAATTAACTGAGATTCGGATGCTGAACTAAAAATAACACAGCAATATTCCAAATGAGAAGTAACTAAATAACGATATAAGGCAATAATGGCACCAGGGCTATTTATTTCTCTACAATGTCTCCAAATAAACCCAATCATTCTGTTTCCCTTACTAATAAGATGATCAATATGTTTACAAAATGTAAGCTTACAGTCGATGAAGACACCCAGATCGCGATGAACAGAAACTTTTTCTAAAACAATATCCCAAATTTTATAAGGAAAATATAAAGGTTTTAATTTAAGAGAAACAGACATTGATTTACATTTGGAGACATTGAGAGAAAGACCCCAGTGCCGACTCCATGCAACGACAGCATCAAGATCTTCCTGAAGACCCCTAGCATCACTCTCAGTCCCGACAATACGATACAGCTTCAGATCATCAGCGTACATAAGGCAATGTGAGTTGTTGACAAAATAAGGAAGATCATTAATGAATAAATTAAAAAATAAAGGACCAAGGATAGACCCTTGGGGGACGCCAGATGGAACGGGTTTGGATTTAGAACAAAAACCGTCAATAATCAGTAGACCTTTCGGTTTTTGGAAAATATTGTTTCCCGACCGAGATTCGAAGCCAGTACCTTCTGTTGTCAATATGCAGACGTCACAGACAACGGGGCTTTGTTGAGAATACGATTATCCGATTAGAAACAATCGGTTTTTATTTGACACTGTTTCATATGCGTGGAAATACGCTTGTTCTTGGCGCATTGGAAATAAAAGAGATTTACATGATACGTTTTAATCATCTAACAACAAGACGGGATCTCCGAAAAAATATTTTATTAAATATATAAATAATTATACAGTATAGAGTAGCGATATACCATTACCATAAGGAAATGCCATTATTATTTGGAAATTATTTTATATATTTTATAATTTAATTCAATTTTTATTGTCAAACACTGTAAAATATACGGTTTGAAATTCCAGCTGTTTGTTCACAGATTCAAAATATATAAATATATACTTAAAGAAACAATCACCTACAAGAAAAGCAAAACACGATACATCACATCAGAAAATGTTATTTTTTAAAATATTTTATGTCACTTACTTGTACTTGCTGCAACGATTCCGATAAGACATGGGGGTATTGTCATAAAAAGACAGCCCATTGAACCAGCGAAGGACAGAATCTGTGCATTCCGAGCACTTTTCGCGGACAGCACGCGCTGAAAATACTCTTGCCATGGCAAACCTCCTAAAAGCTAAGAATCAAAACAAATTTTGACAGTTAGTACTAAATAGTTTTCAGGCTGCATAATTATTCTTAGAAAAGGATTTCAATTCTCAATCCACAGAAGGATTAGCAGCACACTGGATTGGCCCTAAAACCACCTAGTATAATGAAATAATAATAATAATAACAACAACAACAACAACAACAACAACAACAACAACAACAGCAGCAGCAGCAGCAGCAACAACAACAACAACAATAATAATAATAATAATAATAATAATAATAATAATAATAATAATAATAATAATAATAATAATAATGAAATTCATTGTAGTACAGAAGTAGGCCTATTATTGATTAATCACCAGTATACCACTTTATATGAGTTAAAAAAATAATACGATACGTTTCAATAGATTTTTAAAATAGTATAACCATCTAGGCCTTGCATACATGGTTGAGCTTGAAAATTGTTGTGATGTTTTTAAAATATATGTATATAAACAAATGGATAATTAACAGTGCTCAAACATCGGTGGCCGACTTCTTCGGCCGCGTTGAATTTTTATGGAGCGCCATTTGGGCATTATGCCACACTACATGCAGTCGTATAGGGCTATGCCTTTAATAAATTTCTTAATATAATGTAGCCTAGAGTGGTATACTTCTTCACAATGTATTGCTTTCATGTAGAGTATCATTTACTTATTTATTTCAGGTATGTGAAATTTTATTGAAGCATTGCTATTATTACAGTACTCAAAAAAAATTGATCAGGCAGTGGAAATGCTACCCGGTATGCTAAATATTCAATTGCTTTAAGACAGATGTACGGTACCCGCCAAACTGTGCAGAGAATATTTTCAAAAATCGTAGAATCTCACTAAAAAAAAAAAATACAAATGACTTACGAATTAACTTCACATGCTTAAATACTTTATGGCCAATTACAATAAAAAAAAATAGCCTGCTTACTAATATTATAATAATACTTTTATTTGGAACTACAGTACGCTTGTTTCATCTGTGGCACATTTAAAATGTTTGGGCAATGATGCAGCTGATGAGCACTGCATATAGAAATAGGTTCCCAGCAGGAGCGTACACATGTCTACTGCTTCATAGGCCTAAGTTATTTCGTAATAAGCCACTTGTACGATTTTTGAAAATATTCTCTGCACAGTCGAGCGGATACCGTACATCTGTCCTGAAGAAATGGAATATTTAGCATTTCGGGTAGCATTTGAACTGCCTGATCAACTTTGTTTGAGTACTGTAATAGCACTGCTTTAATAAAACTCCACATACCTGAAATGAATAAGTAAATGTAAATGATACTGTATGTGAAAGCAATAAATTGTGCAGAAGTATAGCACTCTAGGATACATTCTATTAGGACATTTATTAAGGCATTGCCCTATACCATTGCAGTATGTAGTGTGGGATCTGTCTCTTATACA